AGCATAATCGGTGTGACCGTCAGCAAAGCTGGTGTGTGCGTCAGCAAAACCGGTGTGTTCGTCAGCAAAACTGGTGTGGCAAAATATTCTCCTCCGCCTAACCTCCAGCCCGCGCGCAACCAGACGGACGCGGCTTGAAGTCCTCATGGGGCATTTGAACCAATGTTGCTACTTATATTCGAAACGAGTGTGTCCTAATGTCTCCAATTGATGGACCCATCGCCGAGATCTACTTTCGCGCAGCGCACCCCATGATAACCACATATAAACCGGTCCTGATTATTGTTCCCTAACACGAGCGTGCATGCTTCACCACTGCGCATGCCCTTCGTGAAGATTGCAATGGCTAAACTATTTTTACAAAAAGTGGAAGTATGAATGAAGTATATCCCATACCCCAAACACAGGGCAAATCGAAGGACCATTCGGATTGAAATAGGCGTGCTTCTGGTGACAAGTGTTCACCTCTTGATTAGTAATTGCTATATTGAAATTCACGACAAGTGCATCGCCTACAACGCTGAGCAGACAATGCCCGAGGTCAAGCCCGTACCACACCACGTAATGTTGTCGTATCGGATGGACGCCTTGAATCCTGGTCAGGTCATCAAGTTCCAACAGAATACAAGGAAATGGTGCTTGTGGTAAAGCCGCCGAGCGCAGGGAGCCCAGTCTTGCACAAAAAAGTACTCTGTGTCAATGTTGGAGGCTGTGATTCTCATTGTACATACCTCCTTGAAAGCGCAATGACACCTCCTTCCTTCAGAAGGAATATGGTTCCTTGTAACCCGACGTAAAATCTATGTTTCGGGAATGTAAAAGTAGCAAACCATGCGCAATTTTTCACTTCACATGTCTGGAACGTGTCGAGTTTTAGTGATATATCGATGCCTGCTTCCTTGCACATTACTACTCTGGTCCATTAAGATTGTGCCATTGTTTTTCACTTGGTTTCACTATACCGTCTCGGATCGAAGTGTATTGGGTTTTGTATGTGTCTCCAACAACACATATTGGTCGAGGTGAATTTAATTTGTTTGTCTTGAACGAATTATCAGGGCAATTGACCATAACTTCCAAGCGAGATTCGTCGCCATGGCGGCATTTCATTCGAAACAATGCCTCTTCAATGCTGGAAGGGTCACATTCAACATTGAACAAAGACAAGTTATTTATGATAGAAACTTTCTTCAGTGCCGTGCCAACGAGCGCATTGTCTGCCGCGCATGCTGGGGCACTCCTCGGATGGCGGCTTCAATTTCGTCGTTGGTGCGGACGACTTTATGTCCAGAAGTGCCTAATCAAGTCTACCTCTTTAATATAATACCCTCAATATATTGTGCAAAAAGACTAAATATAGATTTATTAAGGTTTTACCACTGATTTTTGACCCGATCGCGGCGATGGCGCGTCCGTCGGCCAAGGAGCTGCGTCCTTGCTTTCACAGGCGAGCTATGGTACGCCAGTGGTAGTCATACAACTGGGACTGGGCCTTGAAAGCCCCATACGGAAGCTTGCCGCCGACAGAAAGTTCTAAAAGGCTCTCATAGGCTCCGCGCCTCTGGTCGGCCGTGAGGTTCTTTGTGCGTCTGACGTGTCAGGTAATGGGCTCATGGCAACGCTGGCGTTGTGGCAATGTGTAGAGGGCTCATGGGATGCGTGTGTGTGTCTTAAGTGAGTGGAAATCTCAAATGAATGAGTGACAGGTCAAAATGTTGAGCTGCTTTGGCCCCCGCCACTTTGGTGGTCTATATCTTGGGAAGTAAAACGAATTGGTTTGTTCTGAAAATAGCCAATCCAAGTGCTTAACTTGCGCTTTCGATTGCACCAATCAGATCGAAAATACAGCCAAAACTAGAAAAATCCCGCCAATCGAAAAGTCAATGTGACAAACATTACGGACCAGAGTAGTATACTTCAGGGTTACTTGATTCGCTTTTGCATGAATCCACGTGGATATGAGTTTAACTGAAACGGCACACGCGCATTGACGACAGAATCTCGCTTAGTGAAGCGTAGATGAGGTTGGACTCGCAAACGTCGATTGAGATGGATAAATGAAACTTACATCACCGACACACTGAGGATGATGCTGTGACAGCCAGCGCAGAAAACGCTCGTTCTAGTAATTGTACTGTACCCTAGTTTCGCCTACTAGTCGCAGTGCTACAACAGTACCTCGTGGGCCTACGGAGGTTCCATCATGTTACCGCTGGGTTCTTCACATTTCGCGTCGATTGGATACAGCGGTAGGATATGCTTATCCAGATCAACTAAATTCGCGATCATTTCGTAAACGCGGTGTATATCATTGATACAAATCTCATATACTGTACTGTACGTGGGGCGCGCCTGAATTGCGACGGAACAATGATATTGGAAGTTTACGAATGGTTTAAACGTGGTACAAATAGAGTTAGATTTGTAAAGACATTGGATATCCGGTCAAAAGATTCGTAAGTGCGTATATTTGAGTTTACAATCTTCAACTCTACAGAGCTGTTGTGCATTGTATTGTATTCATAGGTACTCCCTCCGTCCCACAATAATGGCGCGACATTGAGAAGGGCATTCATGTCTGGTAACTATACTTTTCTGTCAATTTCCAAATGGTTTGTACTCCTACCCGTGGCACTCTCCGTAGTCCTGATTGGGTGACAAGATAGAGCGCACCAAGAGCTTTCATTTGATGTATCTAAGTAGCGCTGTCAACATCTTAGCATGTCGAATTGTGGGGCATGTTAATACAATTTATCATGTAATACATATCACTCTCAACAAGCATTCATTCGATATGGAAACGGGAAGGCGCGACCTGACAAACGAGGAGCGCGAAGCCATCCTTCGTGAAACCTTGCTAAAGAGTAATGGTGTCTACTCCGCAGGGCTTCCACACGCTTTTGGTCAATTCCTAGTAGCCAGCAAGTACAGCTGCCATGCTATGACGAATCGCATAGTCCTTCCTCGTGCCAGGTTGCGGAAGGCAACATAAATGCGTCAGTTTCCAGTCTGAAGAAGGATAAGGTGGACCGAAAGTTTGACTTGACAGCAGCCCAAGTAAAAGCGAAACTATTGCAAGTGCCACTTGCCAATCGAACTACACTTCGAGCTACTTCAACGCAATCTGTTATGATAGACATCCATGTGTATGATATTCAACACGTTAAACAGCATAGTAATTTACATATTTACAGGTAACGACGGAAAATATCCCCAGTGGTACTTACCCACAATTTCTATATTTTTATATTGCCATAACATTCAATCTACAAGAAGAAATTGCAGAGATTTTAGCCAATAGGTGACGAACATTACGATCTACTACATGGTATCATGCATAATTTATCTTGGATGTACTATCAAAACAATGCATTAACCTGCTCACTTTATCCTAGTTTCTACAATATGTTGCAATCATACAAATGTAAAATTAAATATGTCCTGTAAACCGTCCTACATTGGAACATACAATTCTGCAACAACTTCACAAACAAGAAGAAAGTAGCTCATACCGTAGATTCGAAGCCCATGTGGTACAGGGTTAATTCCATGACGTCGATGTACTGTACGTTATGCCGTTAAGTCAGTGTGCGTTGGTACCTCAGCATGTCCGTTGTGGTATCCTAATGGGCCAAACCCAAAGCGAGGTCATGTCATGACGTTCAACATATTTTATTTTCCACAAGTACTCATGCATGTTGAAAATATGTACCCGGAGCTCACAGGCAATGGTATCTTCATGTTACAGGGATAAAAATTAATTTCACTGGTCCTCTAAAATTGTTAGTTGGTTTAAAAGATCCGCTAAACCGCGTTCTTCAAATCAACGTCGAACCATGGCCTACATCAGATTGATGTACCTTCCGTGAATTTAGCTGACAATTTTGACTGTCATGTGTCTGTGGCGTCGCACGATATTGTGCCGTTTGAATTGCTGAGCGTTTTGGAACATTGCCCACTGCCCAAGACTTCGACAATTGTTCTCCAGCAGTCGGATGCTGGTGACATTGGGCAATTGAAGAGTAAGCTTCGTTAGAAGTGGCTTCACGGCAAGCCGGTTATGTGTACTGCCGAAAAACGCATGGCTGCATTGTTAAGCGGACTACTGTAGCCAAGGAGGACATGCCATGTGAAAACATCACTCGCTCATTTGAATATGCGCTGCCACGGACTCTTGTACTGTACCTTGTCCTTTAAAATTTATTGAATGTTCGAAATATTTTGAAATTTTCAATAGCATTGTAGCATTTGTTGTAGGTCATTGTGGTCGTGGCTGAGTATGAAGTGTTTTTTCTTCCAATCACGTGAATGCGGCTCTTCAATTCGAAAAAGCTTGAATATAAATACTGACAATACTCTTTCAGGGTAATTTTATTGCCAATACAAATTTCAAGATTTTTCACTAGTAGCACTGGGGACATTTTTGTCGTTCACTGTATAGATAAGTTGGGGATCACTTCACCGGTACCTCAGGCTGGGCATGTTGAAATCCCACTGCAATGCCATCAAGCCCGTGCTGACGGAGGCAAACAAGTACATTAGCTTGAAGTTCACCATGAGCTTCGTTCGACCAGACATGCAGTTTAGCTCTCTGAACTACTTCCACATTGATGAGAAATGGTTCTACCTCACAAAGAAACTCGTACGTATGACCTTGTAACTGGGAAGAGTGAGCCCGAGCGCATATGTAAAAATTAGCGCTTTCTCACTCAAGTCATGAATTTCACGGCGGTTGCCCGGTCGCGGCACATAGATGTCACTGCATCATGGTGGGATGGCAAGATTGGCACTTGGCCGTTCGTGGAGACAGTCCTGACCCAACGAACAAGCTCGAATCGGGGGGACCCCTGTGACGATGACTATGGTGGTAACAAAGTATGTGTATCAATCGTTTCTGGTTGACAAGGTCTTACCTGCAGTTGTTCAGACGTGGCCATCAACGGACAAATCCATATTGACCTAACACAACAATGCGAAGGCTCGCATTGCGGCGTCGGACACAATGCTGTATTGGAGTTAGCCGAGTACAGGTCTCGTGGCTGGTCGTTCGAGCTTGCCCCACAGACACCGAACTCCCCCGACCCCAACATCCACGACCTTGGCCTCTTTGCGGCGCTGCAATTGCTACAATATCAGAAGTATGCACGGTCGATAGACAAGTAGGTGCTGTACGTACTGTACATTCGACGTGTACCCTTACGATCGCCTTGACCGCACCTTTTTGACCCTGCAATGCTGCTTCGTTGAGATCCTCAAGACTGGAGGCGACAACACTTTCAAATTTCCACACATGTAAAGAACAAGATGGCAAGACACGGAAGCTCAACTCGAAACGTCGAATGCTCGCGGGAGGTGTATGATTCTGGTCGCGCTGTGCTCACCGCTGTGACGCCATGGAGCGTCAATCAGCAATCGTGGTCGGCAATACAGGCTGTCCTCCCTGCTTAAAGAGTCTCAGTGAGTGATCCTGATGACGTAGACGACATCATCATATGTGTTTCGTTGACATTGAACCACTTTATATAGATGAATAGATTGACGTTCGTAAATATTGTGTTGGTAGTCCGCTGTCTTGTTGTCGTCAGTGGGAGGGTTGTCGGGGTAAGCCCCCCTCCTGAATCGAATGGCGCTGGTGGATTTGAAGAACTCGGAGATCCAAGGATTTGGCTGCAAGTGAGACAATGTCTGTGATGTTACACCTTTACAATATTATACACAAAATGTTATGTCATGCAGTATCTGTATTTTAATTTAAGGAGGCATATGGCACAATTCTGAGTCGCACCATTATTATGGGACAGAGAGAGTATGTGATAGATAAATTTCATAACAAGTAATGGATATCAATTTACAACGGGTATTTTCGACGATATCCGGAAGATTATATTCATCATCATCGCTGGTTTTGACATCCTCTGGTGGCTCATTCGCCAATTTGTCGGCAGCATCTAAGTTAAGCAGGAAACGGTTGAGCTCGGACACTTTCTCCTTCGCCTGGTTGATGCATCTATAGGTCAAATCGCTTGAGACCGCGGACAGAGCTAGCTCAAGGCGTTGAGGGACATCCTGCAGGGTCGTCTCCGTCGTGGAAGTGGCCAACAGCGCCCTTCACGTACGCCCAAACATATTCCATCGGCTGGAGGTCGGAATGATACCGAGTGATGATGTATTGGGAAACACAGATTGCAACGCCCACCTTGTCTTCGATGTCAAACGTGAAATTCTGGATTCTGGTTGGACAGAGATTTTCGAAGTTCGATGAGTATTTTAACCTATTACAGTACCTTTGACAAAGTTTAATCACTTCAAAAGGATATTAAATCACAAATCGCGTTTGAAACTCGCGGGGCGAACATATAAATTCCACCAATGATGCTGTGGTAAGTCAATGATGAAGTATGATTGGATTAATATTCGACTTATCTCACAGACTTCTTCGGTGGGCGTTGCATTCTATCTTTCCCAGTACTCAACTTCATTATTTATGACCTCATGCACGAGCCAGGGCGACGACCCCAGGTACGACATTCTTCTTTACGAACGATTTCACCTTCGACCAAATTACGGATTTGAACTCATGAGCTGACGCGTCGATTCCATAGTTGACACAGGCTGCGAGCAGGTCGCCAGCCCTTTTTCCATATTCCGTTCCGTGTGCTTGACGGCATTCCTTTGTGTTAGGAAGCGTAATATCACGATGACGGCGTTGGTGCAGCCGAGACGGCACAAGTCATCGAGCAACCGGCTAAACCATTGGACGAAGTACGTATGGTTAAAAATGCCATGATAGCGTTTTGCCTGACGGGTTTCTCCTCGAAACCCGTCATTAGTTGCGCTGGGTTGGACCATCGTCAAGTATCGCGATGATGAAATACATTCGTTGTCCTATGCCTGGGTTTGGGCGCTTGATCCCTGTCGCCTTCGGGATAGTACAACTATCTTTGTGTCATGTGTAGTCGTGATGAACACATGATTCGTCAAGTTAGACGACAGGGCGCAGTGGCGATAATTTAATCGTTTCCGACATGTATTCGACATATTTACCTTTCGCAAATACAACTGTGTTAGTCCATACCAGATTTGTGTCCACAATTTCGACAAATACTCTTGGACGTAAACATATTTTGTTGTCATTTTCGTCTCGGTTTCATCAAAACAAACAATTTCACGTTGAACCAGTAACATTATCACGTATTTTGCAACTACGCGACTAGGGGTCTATCGACGCTCGCGATTCAACTCCACAACAAATCGAAGCACTCGTTGGGTCTTTGGGACACGAGATGTGTGAGAAGATCGGTTAGATTACTTTTTTACTACTGCTGACTTGGAATCCCGGTACTGTTGCCACATCTGTCAAGTATCTTCGCAATGTACTCTGAGACTGATTCCAGTCTCTCATGCCTTAATAATGCATGCAGTTGCAAGATGTCGAGTCGTTCCTCCTCGGTTAGTGCCTGCGGCCTGTTGCCTTTCATGGTAGCGACAATACCATCGTAAAGATCGCCGTGAATGCTGGTATCTCGAGGCATTTGAAAACTGGGCGACACCATTCGAATTGCTGTACTTTATCTGGATTGGAAAGTTGTCGAGAGGTTCCTTGGCGACACCTTTCCAAACCAAACCTGCCTTGTACCATGTTTTACAAAAGATTGAATTTTGCACGTCAATATTGGTTTTCAGTGCTGCGCTTCGCAGCACTGAAAACAGCGAATAGCATTTAACTTCTTTATTGACATGACATATCATTATGCATGACACGGTGAAGTGCAGATACGCTAATACCGTGACATACTTACATGCTGATGCGCCGATAGGTGATGCGTTGATACAGTGATGCACTGATAGGCATATTGGCTGATATGCCAATACGAAGACGCAATAATGATACATCGATAAGTTTATTGGCTAATGCGCTGACGAAGATAGAATAAATTTCCTACACACGCAATACCCAAACCTACACACGATGAAATAGTGGATTTATGCATAATTGGTTATCTTGACGATAGTAGTGTCTGGGTTCGCCAGCGGATTTGAGAATGGAAATGCAACCCGATTTCATGCTACGAATAATGGTTTTAAGGCACTGTGACTTTGGGTCAAAGGAGCGGCTGTGAAACAAATGGCATGTTTCAATCGTCTGTTGAGTTGCATTGCTGCTCTCCATTGGCATAAATCTTTTGGCAGATATCCTCAAATACTTTCAATGGGATTTAAATATGGGGATTGGGCAGTCCAGCCCAAACACACGACATTTTTTTTTGGCCGTCCAACCACTGAGATGTCTCGTGTGAATCGACACATTGCCTTGCTGAGTGCCAAAATCGTCGGCAAATCTAGCATACGCCGAAGGAACATATAGTTTCTAAGCGCTTCGATGTAATCTCCCGAGTTTTGGACCATCCAGGAAGGCAAGGTCGTTTGTACCGTCCGCCAAAACACACCCCAAACTATGAGTGATTCACCACAATTCTGACAACTGAAAAATGTCTTTTCCTAGCGTCCAAGGTAGTGCTAAAAGTACTTCAGCCTGTCAGGGCCATGAAGGTTCCATTTTTCTCATCGGAGATAATTCTTCCACCCATAGTCGATGTATACGTCTGTCCACGAAGCACGCTTCTGCATGCCTTAACGTTAGTTTTGGCTCTGAAAATAAACTTCGCTGACGATGACATCAAGCATGATATTGTACTGTAGAACCGAGCACGGCCAACTTGACGTCGTGC